GCTCCCAAGCAGGGCTAAGTTAGAACCACCATGATCAAATGGAAAGTTTCTCAACGCAAGGCTTCTCGGGGGTTAGCTGATCTCTGTTCTACAGTTTAGGGCTTGCATGTGTTTTTCGGGCGTGGAAAAATACATAAGTTACAAGGAATTTTACAGAGCGCGAGGCGCTCAGAGGAATGTAAAGGGTGGGATGGGGTCCGCGGGGGTGGGGTGGGGGTGCGGGGGGGCGAGCTGTCCTTTCCAAGTGGCGAAAACAGGACCGGGGCGGGCGCTCCGCGGGAGCCGGGAGCCGCGTGCTGGCTCCTCCCCCGCCCGGGTGCAAAGCACCCCGTGCATTGTTTTGAAGGTGAGAAATGGGCGAGCAAGCGCCGGCTCGCGCACTCCCCGCCTGCCTCTCCGCTGTCTGCTTTTGCAGGGCTGCTGGGAGTTTTTAAGCTCTGTGAGAATCCTGGGAGTTGGTGATGTCAGACTCGTTGGGTCATTTGAAGGTTAGCAGCCCGGGAAGGGTTCACGGAAAGTTCACTCGCATATATTAGGCAATTCAATCTTTCATTCTCTGTGACAGAAGTAGTAGGAAGTGAGCTGTTCGGAGGCAGGAGGGTCTATTCTTCGCCAAAGGGGGGACCAGAATTCCCCCAGCCGAGCTGCGCGAGGACCGAGATCCCGAGGACGCGAGAGATCCGTGCAGGGTCGGTCTGGGCACCGTCGGGGTAGGATCCGGATCGCTGTCGGAAGGCTTGGTGCAGACGTTTGCTTGGAAGGAGAACTTGGGATCTTTCTGGGAACCCCCCGCCCCGGCTGGATTGGCCGAGCAAGCCTGGAAAATGGTAAATGATCATTTGGATCAATTACAGGCTTTTAGCTGGCTTGTCTGTCATAATTCATGATTCGGGGCTGGGAAAAAGACCAACAGCCGACGTGCCAAAAAAGGGGCAGACTTTGATGGAGTTGGGTGGACTTTTCTATGCCATTTGCCTCCGCACCTAGAGGATAAGCACTTTTGCAGACATTTGGTGCAGGGGAGATCATGTTTGACTGTATGGATGTTCTCTCATTGAGTCCTGGGCAAATCCTGGATTTCTACACTGCGAGCCCGTCTTCCTGCATGCTCCAGGAGAAAGCTCTCAAAGCATGCTTCAGTGGATTGACCCAAACCGAGTGGCAGCACCGGCACACTGCTCAATGTAGGTTTATTTTTTTTTCCCCCCTTCTACCAAGAAAAAAAAAATGTCTCTCTTGCATGCAATGAAGACATTGGAAATCAACTGCATTGGTAGCAAGACAAAGGATTTAATGATTTAATGCTGAAAGGGTGTGTGATATGCTGGCATGCATATTGATTCCTTTTGCTGAAATTTTCCTGTTAGATGTTTTCTTCCCAAGCAGCCCTCCGCACCCTTGTTTCTGTTTCTCAACCTTAAAGCCTCTTGGAAATAAGTTTTTAAAATATGCAAGGGGTGGGGTGGGGGAATACAGAGTGACCACAGTACTTTGCAACATTCTTCAAGGAGGGCAATTTGACACAGCATGCAGTTGTTACTAAGATGTGTGCAGAGGGGAATTTAACTTCGCTGTTCTTGGGATGAGCTACTAGTTGTATATCCGACCCCCACCCCGACCCCCAGCTGTGTATTTCAACAGTCCAAAGTAATTAAAATATGACATCTTCCTTGCAAGGAATTTAGCCTAATTAAGGTGGCTGCTGTTCCTGAAGTTCATAAACCACTAGCTAAATCTGCTGCCCCCAGTGTTTTCCTTGCTAAGGAAAGGCAATATTTCTTAGCATTGACCCTGCTGCCACCTTTCCGAGTCACTGTGTTGCTCTAAGAAGTTGTTGTTTTGCTAGAAAACTACTGACAATGAACACCCCTTGGGTCGAGCCATTCATTATTCCCATTTCTTGCAATTCAGCCCGGACTTCAGTTGTGGAAAGGAATATAAGTGTGGTAACCACATCTTAAAAAAAAAAAGAAAGAAAAAAGACTTTGGTTATCTGATGCTGACACCATGCCGAAGCACGCATCTGGTCAACAGTAGCCTGGCTGCAGGCTTGAGAAATGACCAGAAGTCCCAGCAAATCCCACCTTCCGTGGTCCTAGTGGGAGCCTGCAGGGCGCTTCTTGCCGTGACAGTGATTTAGATAAATAGCTCAGCTATCTATCAAAATGTTTTTAGTACTTGATTTGACAATCTATTGGAGCATTAGCCTGAAAATGACATTTAAAATCTTTGTTTTTGAAGAGGTTAAAGTTTAACTGGGAGAAATTGAGTTTTTTCCCTTAATAACAAGATGGCTTATATCTAAAGGGGAAAAAGAAAAAAGGGCAGAGAAGGAACAATGACAAGATTTAAACTGCCCTCTCTGAAACTTTTCCGTAAGGATAAAAGACTTGGTCCTTGGGGCCAGAAAATCAACAGGTTTGTAACTGAAAAATCAATAACGATCGGATGCCAGGAGTTTGATCCTCTGGCTTAACGTTTCACGGTGCCAAACAAAACCGGGGCAAAAAGAACATCGCTTTCAGAAAACGTTTTTACTTAATCTTGAGCTGCGCCCCCCAAAGCCTTGTCTTTCCTGCTGCCCGTTTTCTTTTCTTCAAAGAAACTGTTACAAGATCATTTTCCAATCCACTAACCAATCTATGAGACTTGCCTTTTTCTGTAGTAATTAAAACAGGATGAACAATTTCATTGAGAATCCTAGTTGAACTCTGAAACTTTTCAGTGTAAGAAAGTTTTTTGGAACGTATCTTTCATGGAAGGGGAGAACCTGTTCAGGATCCTGGCATAAAGATATTAGACTTAATAGAGCTTTTTGATATGCAGCTATTTCCCCTTTTGTAATTAACCCTCCAAACAAGCCTAGTAAGTTGTAGGAGCTTGGGGGGAAGCTTTGTTTGTTCTTGAACAAGTTAAACAAGGGATTTGCCTTATCTGGGGAGAAAGAGTGGTGAATGTGTCATTCGCCTAGGACCAGCCGATAAGCAAGAGGTGTTGTGAACAGCAAAGTTCAGCTAATCAAAGAAACTTGCCTTAGAAAAAGTAAATACAGGCATTTGACAAAGAGATTTCAGAAATTCCAGTGTCTTATTTTTGTAAGCAGAGCAATTCATGCTTATTGTGGTCAATTTCACAAGGGTCTAAATCCCACACCCCAAACTCTGGGTTAAATGAATAAAATGTAAATATTGCTGTGTCCCTGCAGAGTTGTTGTTTTATCTTCCAAAACCCACCGCATGGCATGACTGGTCAGTTTCCTTGATTGCACGATTAAGATTTTAAATGTAAACAAAAAACTTTTAAAAAAAGAAAGAAAAAACCTCTAACAGATGTCTGCCAGGCAGTGTGTGGTTCAGGGTGGCGTAGCTGGTTGGGGTTTTGAAATAAAAAGCACATTAGCACTGTGTTTGTATGAGAAGTAAGAACATAAACTCCACAGCCTTTTCTATTTTATTTAATGGAGGTTTTGATGAGAAGCAGATCTGTTTGTGCTCTTATCCCAGAAAAAACAGTGGGCAAGGGGGAGGGAAAAACAATACTAGAATCCAACCAAGACTATTTTCTGTTTTGAGATCCTACCTGTGTGTTAATTAGAGGTAAACACCCCCGCTGCCACCCCCACCAGCCCCAGCCTAGAACCTACCAGACTTCTTTGAAAAGGTGTTGGAGGATTGATTCCCTTTATTTTCTCTTTAATTTTAAAGACAGAACAGTAATAATACCAATCGGCTGTTGGTTGGAGAAGCCCCTGTGAATTGCTTGTTATAAAAACTGGGAAGTTAGAATTTAGGGGTGCAGTAAGCCTATGTGGTGTAAATAATACTGACTTAAGGCCGTCCCTGGAAGGTAGTGGACTCACCAAGTTTCTATTTAGAGGCCTCTTGGATTATCTGGGCTTTACCCTGCCCAGATGTTTTCGGCATTCATTGTTCAGTGGAAGTAGGATAAATCTTCATATTTTGCTCGGTGAAATCGTAAGAGTGATGACTTCTTGGATCTTTCCCTATCATCTTCCCATTAACAAACACATCAGAATAAAAGAGAGAAAATATTTTCCTTAAGAAAGATTTTACCCATTAATGAGGAGAAACAGCCCAGTTTTTAAAATAACAGTAGTGATGCATGATTCAGGAATGAAATAAGGCCCCCTTTCCAAATGCTGGCTCCCAACTTTTCAGTGCTAAACAGGATCCAAATCCTCTCCTAGTGGGATATAAATTGGGGTCAAAGTGGCAAAATCAAAGATACTCTGGAGAAAGAGAGCCCAAATAAAGCCTGACAGCCACTGTATGAATTGAATGGGGTTTTGAATAAATATTTTGGTGAAAAGACCCAATTGTTTTTCTAAAGTAGGACATAATTTTCGGCTGCTCAGCCACATGACATTGGTAACTAACACCATCAGAACGAGGAGAAGGGTTTTTTGCTCAAACCTCAAAGGGGACAGGGCTGGGGCATTATAGCAAGTAGGAAATTAGCGGAGTTTTCCTTCCCCGTGAGAAAGAGAGAGACAGCACAGACAGTATTGTCAGAATCCAGGTAAACTGGTGAAGAAACCTATGAAAAGTGTTCACTACAGATGGGTCATTAAGCACAAGCACACTCGCGCTTACTGAGTACCCCTTCCCTGTCAGGGATTGTAAATTGGAAAAGAGGCTTGGAGTCTGTACGCTAGCCAAACCTAGACACAGAACCTTGGCTATGTGAACCTGTTCACTACAGATTAGTGAGAAGGCACGAGGAAACCCATGCTTACCTTGCTCCGTGAGCAATGCATGTATGAATTACTGTGTAAATTAGAGGAAACACAATGCGTTTAAGTTTTATCCTGCATTAAAAAATAAAAAGTCATAACAATAGAAATTTCCCGTATAAACAGACAAAAGCTATGGAATTGATTTAGAATTTATAGTTATGATTTGATTTGCCAGCCTACATGTCAAGCCATTGCACTAAAGCAGGCCTGTCTTTTTTTCATGGAGAACTGACCTCTGAAATTCTGATCGGCTAACTGGCCCGAACCAGAAGTGTTCTCCTCTCTGGAAGACGGGCTCTGAGCATAGTGTTACCACTAACCGCAGGAAGTATTGTTACCGGCTTGTCTTTAGACAGCGAGTAAAGGAAAATTCTCCTGCATATCAGATGTTTATAAATTTACCTTGAGCATATGTTAGAGTCTACTGCCTGGGCTGAAAAGGGGGGAGTGGAGTGGGGCGGCGCAGAACCTAACTGTTTTTGTCTTTATACATTCTACCAGCATCATTAAACTATATCCCAGAAGGCAAATGCATGATACATGATTGTGATTATAATAAATTCTGTTCTCAGGAATTTGTAATCTTGAAAACACCCTTTAAAAAAAAAAAAAAAGCATGGGCATTTTGAAGTTAAAAAGTTCCACTCTGAGGGAAGATGGCAATGCAAAAGGCGAGATAGAACTTTCGGATCGGCACAGCACCTTACTACAGCAGTACGGATGGTGTTATGGGAAATGGATGTCTGTAGAAGGCTCTTCTGTAGCGTCTGAGTTACGTGCCAGGGCTAATACATTTATCCAGAAATGACGTTTTTATTCTTGAGATGTTCGAGTATGAATTCAGTTAACTATCAATGATATAGATTATTTCACTAATAGGAATTTTTGATGAAGGTTAATCAGAAAAATCTTGGCCAAAAACCTTTCCAAACGATATTAGTGTAGAGGCTTGCCTTTCAAATTACAGGGTCGTTATGGCCGTCATATATCTCTGCTTTTCTAGAATAACCCACTTTCAAATATACTGCCACAGTTCCCACATAAATCATTGAAATATGCCAGATATTTCAATATTACGACATCTCCCAGGCTGCCCCTTGAGCCCAGGAGTGGCACAGAAAGTCTTTGTTTGAATTCTATGGTCAATATACCGAGCGCGCTCACAGCTTAATTTTTCCATCATGACTGAAGATCGCCTTGTGCTTCAGGATTATTCTTCCGCACTTGAAGCCTGTTTGTGGCAACTGTGGATCGGTGAAGAGAACGCATCTCCTGCAAAATGTGTGTGTGTGTGTGTGTGTGTGTGT